ACTCACCTGACCACTCCACAGTGGGGGGCATGTACGGCGGTTTCTTGACCTGCACGTCTATAAAATTAAGCCTCACGCCGCGTTTGCATTCTCGACTGCTTTTTCGACAATTTAGACAGTCTGGTAACCCTTCGTCACATTTTAGATGCCGTTCCCTACACGTTAGACAACCCGTCCGCACTCGTTTTGATTTGGTGGCGGTCGCGGCGGCGGCAGCGGCGGATTTCTCTGGGGATTTGGGTTTGACGAGCAGGTCGCGCGACGGGGTGAGGGAGTGGATGCTCGCGCTGCGGCGGGGCGGGATGTGGGAGCTGGGCAAGTTCATGGTGTCTGCGGCGCTGTGTTGGTAGTGCTGTTGATGATGGTGATGATGATGATGCTGGTTGAGATAGTTTGACTGGTGATGTTGGTGATGATTCCCGAGATACGAAGATGCCGATTCCGAGTTGGAGGCGGCGTCGGCGTCGGGGCCGAGGGTAAAGTCTGGCGTAAAGTCGGAGGAGAAGCCGAAGGAGAGGGAGGAGACCTGGTCGTCGTCGTCGTCGTCGTTGTCGCCTCCTACTAGGTGGTAAGGATCGTGGACGAAGTCGAGGGGCGGATGCTCAAATGGATTCAGCACCGCCGAACCGAGGCCAAAGCCTGGCACGAGGACGCCTGCAGAGGCGTCGTATGCCTCCAGGGCTACTCGAAAGATCCGTCTCTGGCGAGTAGAGACGGATGGGGATCGGTGGGGGGAGGAAAGCGATGCGCGGCGTGTTTCTTTTCAGTGATTGCTCGGGACACCTGATTGTGGTGAATTGGGTTGCGATTGGGAGGTCGTCTTGGGCATCAAACGTTGGTTGGCGTCGTTGGAAGTTGGTGATGTCGTTGTCGATGTTTCGTGTCGTGAGAGAGAAAATGCGCTGATGAGCGGTCGTTGGATGAGATTAATCGGCCCTCTCACGATGAGAGTGAAAGGAGGCGCGTAGGCGGGGATTGGAGTGAGTGAGTGAGTGAGTGAGACCGCGCAGCTGCAGGGGGCTCTCTCTCTCTTCTCTCTCAAAGTGTTCTCTCAAATGTACGGAGCCGAAAATGGGGGGCTGCTGGGAAGAGGCAGCCTATCGCGGGAAAGGGAGAGAAGAGTCTGCGGTTATCGAGTTTGCTATCTCGGTACTGGGCGCTGTTGGTCGTAGGTAGTGGTGAGATCGAAGACGACGATCGGAGTCGAACGGGTTGTCGGCTATGCAGTGCGCGCGATGCAGCAGCGTTGAAGGCGTCGGGTAAGGGGGTGAGGTGTGAGGTGAGAGTGTGTCGGTGAGTGAGTTGAGCGTCGAGTTGAGTTGTGAGTGTGTAGTGTGTGTGTGAGAGAGAGAAAGCGGAGAATGGAGTGCGGTTTGTGAGAGTGAAAAGTCGAGATGTAAAAGTCACAAGCTGCTAGTCGCCTCCTGGGATGGAACGGGATTGACTTGACTAGCGTAAAAGATGGTGAAGTGTGAAGAGTGGTCCCCTTTTCCCTGTCTCTCTCACTCACTCTCTGTGCTGTGAGTGTGTGTGTGTGTTCTGTGTGTGTGCTCTGTGCTCCGTCTCTTTCAGGCCAGGGCGTTACGTTGGGTAATACCTTACGGTGTGTGGTAAGGTGTGGATAGTGTGTGTGAGTGAGTGCGAGCGAGTGTGTGTGTGTGGACGGTACAGGTGGAGGGAAGCGTGAGACTTGGTCTGTTCTCGTGCCCGCTAGGTCGTTTACATATGCAGGAATCCCGGGCGATGGGTGGGCGGACTGTGGACAGTCTGGGGCGAGGCGCTGTACCGAGTAGGCAGTGCGTGGGTGTTGGAGAGACTTGGACGAGTGGGCAGTGGGTGCAACAGAGTTCTCGTTCCTCTTTTGCCGGTGTGGTGTCGTCTTGTCTCCGATGCTGCGATCTCCCCGGTCCTATCCGGCCTTGGGTGTATCTGCTTCAAGATAGTCAAGGGTGGAGGGAAGACTTGTATCGCGATGCAATGTCGCTGATGATTCCCATCAGAGGGCAGGACAACGAGGCCAAAGAAATGCGAACAATAACGACAACGACATGAGAACCTGGGCGGCGGAGGATAGAGACAGGTAAGGTAGGCAGTGTCGAGAGTTGAAATCTCTCGGCAAAGGAGCGGGATCAAGCGGGATGGGTTTCCCAACTGAGAGGGGACTTCAGGTCGGGATCGGGGGTGCCAGGACTCCAGGAGCCAGCCAGGAGACAGGGGGGTATGGCCCTTGGGGGTCTTGTTCCCTCCCTGGGTTATGGTTGTGAGGGAGTGTTCTAGCCAAGACAACAAAGTCTTGGGATGGGGAAACGTCGCGAAAAGCCGCGAGTACGCTGATTTGTCGCAGATGGCGCAAACTTGGTGGTAGAGGACAAGTCTTGGTCAAGACTACGTGTGTGATCCTTCTTGGCCTCAAAACCTCAACGGCTCTTGGCTGTGTATTGAGATTTGTTCCGTCTAGTGTCAAGTCGAGGGGTGGGAAGGCAGAAAGTATTGGGTTAAAAGGATCTTGGGCAAAAAGGAATAGAGATGCTGGGGGAGAAGAGCGTTGACAGGCCGGCTATGCTATGTTTAGGTAGTAGGGCAGACAGAGTGGGTAGTCGAAGCCGAAGAGAGATTGAGTGACGCCGGTTCTCGGGGAGTGGGCAGGCCGGGAGCCAGATACATACAGGCACAGTCACAGTGGGCAGAGAAGGGAGTCGGTCAGTGACCGATGGATGGACAATGGATGGACGTCGGAATTGAGTGAGTCCAGAACTCTTCCCCCTCTCTTTCCCTTTCACATCAGGTACGGATTTTACTGGAACGGGGGCGTGGATAAGGTAGAGAAGCAAGAAAACAAATCACCTACCCATGCCCGAGAGGCAGGTACATACATCATACATGAGAGTGTGAGCGTAAAGGCGGGGAGGCTGAGACTGAAGATTTACGAATGGGAGGGAGGGATGAGAGCCTGTGAAGGCAAGCGGGTGAAGAAATTGAATGCCGGTCAATCAAAGGTTACAATACTTACTTACTGCCTGCTTGTCATTTTTTGCTCTCTATTTCTGTTGTTAGTTATATCTTCTATGTGTTCATCAGAGAACACTCTTAAAAGAAAGCACATTAAGAAGAGTCGGGGGAAAAGAGCTGGGGTACATACGGATAGAGCGGCAAATGATTATGTCACCTACCCCGTGAGAGAAGGGGAGAAGATACAGTTGAAAGAGTGCGAGAATGAGCGACACAGTGACAACTTGGGGCGAAGGAGGGCAGTGCGAGCGAGGATGGATGACCTGTGGGTGTGTCCCCAGATGCAGAGAGGAGAGAAGTGAGCTGGGCAGACTACCAACCTAACAGACTGTCGAGGAACAGAGAGGGCGAGAGAGAGACACAGCCGCGTAGGACGTGTGTGATGGACGCACCACACGGGCGTGTCTCGATCTCAGCACACCATCCACAACGTAACCAAACGTTCCTCCTCTCGCTTGATTTAGCACTTTCTGTGTGGGATCTTCTAAAACTGGAGCGGTCCCTTGGTTCCACTTTTTAAGATGGAAGAAGCGTTTGCCGATGGTGACAGCCACAGGAAGTCTGTGGTTCAGAGGTCCGTACCTGTTTTGATAGTGACGATCACGTTGGCTATAGAGAGCTGGGATTGAGCAGGTGTTGACGTCGTGTGTGTGTCGTTGTGCGAGTGATTGTCAGAGAAGAAACATCTACTGAGAAAGACTCGAAGAAAGGAGACTTCTCTTAAGCAACACGGCCGTGGTCCGACGTGCTCCATCATCTAACCTAGCCTAAGCTCGGGATATCCGCCTTTCGGCGCCGGTTATCCGTTCTAAACTGCTGATCGAGTTGCTGGCCAGCTGAAAGAGAGAGACTATGCCGGGCCGATGAAGACGAGAGACGAGATAGAAATCTAGCGCAAGATCGGCTCCTTGTCTCCTATTCCGTAAACTAATGACCATGCAGTTTCTCCAAGACTTACCAGTGTTGCACACTCAAAGCGACAACCACTCAGCCAAAGTTATCCATAACCTACACAGTCGACATCACACAGTAGATGCTATTGAGGAATGACGAGGATCAAGACCAGATCAACTCGCGATCCTTGTTCCGAGACCCGCGTCTCTCGGACCATGTAGCAGAAGCGCACACACACAGCCACAGCACACGGCTCCTTCACCCAATCATCCTCGCTCATCTCCCTCATGCACTTCCCACTCCCACATGCCCGTACCTTGCGCGGGACTGGTGTTGCAGATCCGCCTTTCCGGGGTTCCAGGTGCCGCTAGAATCATGGTCGAAGGGCTGGAACAGCGCGCCTCAGCCAAAGAGCACAGCCAGCTTCCCACACCATTTTCCGGTACCTACCTAAATCCTGATGGTGAAGTGACTTGGACCCTGTCATCTACAGGTTGTTCCGTCCCAAATGCTTCCTTTTTGATGTTTCCTCGCTTCTTTTCCATCTTCAAATCATTCGGAAGCTCGTCATCCTAATTCCCCGTTGGAGAAGTCGAATATTCTCCGACTGCGAAAGACGAATGGTTTTCTCTCTCGAGCTCAGGGATAACTCCTGAGCTCGAACAGGGCCCCCGTCCGTCCGTGTTTCTCTCGAGCTTCTCTGTCACTGTTACAGGACTGCTTCGGCTTCTCTTGCTTCCCAGAATGCCGAGACCATCCATTGGCAACTCTGCCCAGAAATTCCAATGTGGCCATCGTCAGTGCGTACGCAGTATTATGGCGTCTTTGTATCATCGTCACTCAAGGCCAACCGCCAAACCAGGCAAAAGAAGGCTTGGCCGTGGATTCTTTTGGAATTATTGACCCATCATGAGCCCTTGTTTGACCATGACAGTTCTCTCGGCGCGCGCGCACTCCACAGGTAATGGACATCATTCATCGTCAGGGCCGCGCAATAGCAACTATAACCCTCTTAGCCCCTGGGCCCTGGCATGATTGGCATCGTTTTACGGGACGAGTTGCAGTTGCATCCGCTTGATGATGCTTCCGCCTGATTCTCAGCAGAGCCTAGAGGTCCAGCACCGCTTCTTGTTGCGGTTTCTGTTTCCATTGCTGCGTAGTGAGTGTGGGGACTCGAGAAGGGTGATTCGCGGCCTTCGCCAGCAGCTGGCGTATGTTAGTCGCGGAACGTCGTATTCTCGCCCAGGTTTGTTTTGACGTCCACCATCATGCCAGATGCTCCCGATTATCTCATGTTCTATCTCTCTTCCCTCCAAGGATGCCTGCCTGCCCGTCCACTTCCAGTAACTCAGTGGACCACCCCAACATTCCATTTCCTCCCCGCCGCCGCCGGCCGAGTTGTTTTGCTCCAGGCCGCTCGGGACGGTTTGATCGCCATGCCCCGGCGCAACCTCAATTCTCCCTTGCCCCGGGTACGTCGATCCCATAGGCGGTGCCGGCCGCGCGCCAAAACAGAAAGACCACAGTCGACGAAAAACTACGTAATTGGCTAGGAAAGCCGTATGGTATACCAGACTTATTATGCTGGTAACTATAGCCAGAGCCTCAACAGGGTTGTCGAACAAAATTAGCAAGACCGAGCGAGATTGAAAAGCATCAGCCGAATGAAGCGAGTCGTTGCTCATGTCACAGTTGTTGGAGGGGGCGAGTAGAGCCGAAGTGGGAAAAGTGTCTCGCGACACCTCCCCAGTCATTAACCCAGTTTGTCGGTGTATGCAGTCTGCTCAATAGCATGGAAACCCTACAGCCGTATTCGCCCACCTCACCTTAACAGTGTCAGTGGTTGCGAATATAGGCTCAAGCAAGCAAGGTTCGTTCCTTGAGGGGGCCATTCGGGGAAGCTTTTGCCCATGTTTCGTTTGGTCTTTACGCCACGCCCAAAGTGTCCCAACTACAGGCTGCCATCCCTCTCTCTCCCAGAATAAACACAATTCAGAGCACAGTTCAGAGTTAGGTTGCCTTTCCCATCGGGTCTCGTTGCCTTTCTGAGTTTTTCGGTCGTCTCCAGAGCCCAAGAGCGTAGAATTAAGGTGTGTCAACTCGAAGCTCCGAAGCGTCTTGACCCTCTCCTCGCAGTATTTTCGTCCGACCTCTCGCCGCTGCCCTTCTCTCTGGGACTTTTCTGTCAGAGTTACCACCGGGCCATGGGACGCTCATAGTCCCCCTTCTCTCCCCGCCTTCTCCCGCCGGCTGCTCGGTTTGCCGAGCACTGCGTTACCGTCCAAGAGCCAAGATTGCTGCTTGCACATAAAATGCCAAGAGAATCAATGTTGCTGTATTCTGCCAAGCGCACCCCTCCCCGACCCCGAGCGGCGGGTTACGAAACTTGCCCACCAGACGAACCAAAGTGAAACAAATTCGCCAGAGAAGCCCTGTCCGAACAGGGTGATGGTTATGATAGCCTTTTGTTCTTTGTTTTCCGTCCGTAATGTAAGCCGAGCGGGCAAGGCACAGAAAAAATGTCAGAAATGCAGCATGATGTATTCTAGGTTTCTGGCTCCCGAGTGAAATTTGTAGCAATACCTATTAGCAGCAGAAGCAGCCAGAAGCGAGCCTTCATCCGATAGTGCCCGGGTCGGAACAATGACAGGATTCGAAAGCGAATGCGGGTGCGTGCTGTTGGAAGGTCGATGCAAGCACCACATTATCTTGAACTCACTCAGCGGCTCGGGAACACAAGGTTGTGTAGCCTTTTGCTTTTCCGGCCGTGGAAAGCGAGTATGTGGAGGAACGGCAGCAGCATCAGCAGCCAGCTTTGTGCCACTCTGCCCATCCATCCGTGATCACAATTCTCTCCCCAGCTTGAACAGGACTTTGTTGCGATGAAAGTGCAGTGTATCCATACTCTCCCCCTTCGTTATGCCTCGCCTTGCATCCCGCCGCAGCCGCCGGTCCCCCACAACCTCAAAGGAGGTTGCTAACCAACCCAAGGGGAGGGGATCCTCTGTTCCGGAACAAGAAACCAGGAAGGCTCATATTTCTCAAGCGGGAAGGGATAAGCTTCTCGGGAAGTTTTTGCCTTGCCCCTTCGCGGGTAGGCATTCCTGGGGCAGAGGCTCCCAACGCCAGTCCTTCCTTCAACTACCTTACCGTCACTGTCAAGGGTTATGTTAGCTGTGACGGACGTCCCGGCTCCGGGCGGGGGGGTTCGTGGGGCCTTTGCGACTACTTGACACAATGATACTGCAGTGGCAAAGAAGAAAGAGCCCGCCAAGTCTCTTGGTGATTTTTATATTTCAACTCCTGTCACTCTGTATTCGTCATCTCCAGCCGACGCCCAGGCTGATCGGGAACACCTTGGCGGGGGACGGGAGATGAGCCCAGATGCTGCATCTCGAGTCGTCTTGTCACTTTTGTGGCACTCTTGGCCTTCCTGCAACTTGTCTGTACACGTACGCTCACGTTGTGGACGGTGGACTTGGCAAATCACCAAGCATTTCAGCCATTTGCTCTACGCCATCATCATCGAGTCCACGGATGTTGTGTGACATTCAGGGTTTAATCGGCCGGGAGATTGGGCTCCCCTCCCCCTCCACCCGCCGCAGCCCCAACCTGCAGCAAGCCGAGCCTCGATCTCCTGCGTCTGTTTTTTCGTCTGAAGTTACCCGGTACTAGCGCATAGCAGTCCTCTTTGCAGAATGGGGAGGGAGGGGGAGGGGGAGAAAAACAAAGGCGCAAGGCAGAGAGAGAAATCTGCTACATCTGAGCCGAGATGCCAAGAAAGTGTCTCCAGGCGTGAAACAGGAGATTTGACAAATCGGTATCAAGGCCTGGAGAAATGAAATAGGGAAGTTTACGGAGCCGAAGTTTTTTGATCACTCTCGAAAAATCTGGAGAAAGAAGAAGGAATATGGAAAGTTAAATCGAAAATGGGAGTGAGAGTAAAAGCGAAAGTGAAAGTGGAAGTGGAAGTGAGGGTGAGGCTTGGAAGGGGAGGCGACATAACCTAACCAGAGTAGCGCCGATTTCATGGTCATTAGATCGCGGGACCGAGTAAATCGAGCCAAAATCGAAGAAGTAAAAGGTCGACGGGTATCTCGCATGCTCGTGTTGTACGAGAGTTCTCTGGTGCCATGTTGTACGAGGCACTGACCTGGCCATTTATCTTCGTGTAGCATTGCAGAATGGTTTTCTTTCTTTTGACCAAAGGACCATTCGTGCGACCCTTGGTATTGCCGGCTGATAATAGAAAAGATGGGAAAGAAGGGATACAGGAGATGATGGGGAAATGGGAGGGTGAGAGCATGGGAGACCAGGGAGGAGGGCCGTGACAGCGGGAAGTTTGGAGAGGTTATTCAGTGGATATCCGCTGCGAATTCCCCGACGCGGGTACACACCGAGGCTTCACCTCGATCAAGCTCGGCTCCCATCTCGGTGAAGTCCTCGGTCTGTGGTTCCGGAAACTCCCACACGGAAACCATCAAGGTTCTCGACGGATACAACCCACACATTGTCCTCAAGACCGCTTATGTCATCCAATCACGTGCAGGGACCCACACAAGCTCCCCAAGCTCCCCCTTCGCTCACCGAGCTCACCGATAACACCGAGACCGCCGCCTCCATCTCCACCAAACCTCCTGTCGTCCCCAAAAATCCGCCGCAGAAACCATCACAGCTTTGGATGACTCTACAAAGCCATTGCGCCTCCACAATGGCCGCGATCCCCTTTCTTCCTCCCTAATCCAATTCATCCCTCATTTCTCATAATTTACCACAATCTAAAACCACCCAAAATGCTCGCCCGCACCCTCCGCGCCGCGGGCGCAAGCACAACCCGTCCCGGCGCCGCTACAGCCCTCACCCAGCAACAGCTTCGAACAGCATGCTCCTCCTCCTCCCACCCGTCACGCGGCCCCGAAACCCTCCCCTCAAGTCCAATCCGCGTCCTCCGCACCGTCTCCGCCCTCCGCCACTGGCGCCGCCCCCACGTCCTAAACTACCGCTCCGTCGGCCTCGTCCCGACAATGGGCGCCCTCCACGAGGGCCACCTCTCCCTCATCCGCGCCGCCGCCCGCGAGAACCACCACGTCGTCGTCTCCATCTACGTCAACCCGGCCCAGTTCGGCATCGCGGAGGACCTGGCGTCCTACCCGGTGACCTGGGCGCGCGATAGCGAGATCCTACGGAACCTGGACCGCGAGTTGGCCGGCGACGGGGATATGCTCGGCCGCGTGAGCGCCGTGTTTGCGCCGACGACGGGGGAGATGTATCCCTCTGGATTCCCGGGGCAAGAGGTCAGCAGCAAAGGCAGCTTCGTGACGATTACGCCTGTGGGCGAGGTCTTGGAAGGCGCGAGCAGACCTACCTTCTTCAGGGGCGTCGCGACGGTGTGCATGAAGCTGTTCAACATTGTCCAGCCGGAGCGCGTATACTTTGGCCAAAAGGACGTACAACAGACCGTCGTCATCCGCCGCATGGTAGAAGACTTCATGCTCCCCATGGACGTCGTCATCGGCGAGACGACGCGCGCGGACGACGGCCTGGCCCTGAGCTCGCGGAACGTCTACCTCGGCGAGCGCAGACGCAAGGTCGCGACGGTGCTGAACCGCGCGCTGAAAGCGGCGGAAGAAAAGTACCAGCAGGGCGGCGCGCTGGACCGGGAGACGATCCTCGGCGCCGCGAATCAGGTTACGACTGACGTCCTGGCGGAGCAGTCGAAGCTGGCGCCCAAGGATAGGGTACTGTTTGAGGTGGACTACATCTCGCTGGCGGACCCAGACACCATGCAGGAGATAGACACTGTTGTGCCGACAAAGGGCGGTATACTGAGCGGCGCTGTGAAGATGCTGCCGGTGGAGGAGCCGCAGCCCGGCGAGGACCTTGGTCATAACGACGGTCCTGCAGTACGTCTCATTGACAACATTATTCTCAAGCCTAATACCCAGTAAGGAGCGACTTGGTGGGCTGTATTTGGATAAGAATTGAAGGCAAAGTACTATCACTATTTTACCGCATAATGCTATATAGACTTCTTATAATCTCCAAGAATGCCATGCTTTGCAGCTAACAAATACTATCATAAGATCATCACGCTTGACTTGACACGATTACAGTAATACATCATTTACAGGTGCGCGCGGTTCTCCAGAGATCTGCGCCTCCTTTGCTCCTTGACGCTTTTCTTCAACTGCCGCGCGTCTTCGACACTCAACAGGGGCGACACTCCCTTGCCGTCAATGTTTCTGGCAGCATCAAATAGTTTGCTTCCCAGCAAGTCGGTCAGACGGAGCACCCGAGTACTGACAGTAGCGCCATCACGACGATTCTTTCCCTCACGACGACTGGAAGCGATCTTCTCGGTAAAGTCCCACAGGCGACCAGAGGCGTTAAGGGTGCCGGTCCCCGGATCGCGAGAGGGGCGCCATTCTGGGTCGAGACGTAGACGTGGAGGAACCTTGGGGTCTTTTGACTTGACAACCTGAAGGAT